GGAAGAATTCTTCCATTGACCTAGCTACTGCCTCTTGAGGGGGTGGATTGACTACAGCAACGGAAAAAACCCCTCCTGTTGCTGTGGCAAGTGTCCATGCTACCGCACTACAGTGGTGTCGCGGCAGCCATGCGCCTGTAGCACCTAGAGCGTAGATTTAGCCTCAGTCTCTGTGTCATCTTGCAGCAGCTGACACCACTCAGCAAGGTTTCAGAGGAACAGCCGTGTTAGTCTGTATTCGCAAAAGGAAAAAGGAGGACTTGTGGCACCTTAGAGACTAACCAATTTATTTGAGCATGAGCTTTCGTGAGCTACAGCTCACTTCATCAGATGCATACCGTGGAAACTGCAGCAGACTTTATATATACACAGAGAATATGAAACAATACCTTCTTCCACCCCACTGTCCTGCTGGTAATAGCTTATCTAAAGTGATCAACAGGTGGGCCATTTCCAGCACAAATCCAGGTTTTCTCACCCTCCACCCCCCCACACAAATTCACTCTCCTGCTGGTGCTAGCCCATCCAAAGTGACAACTCTTTACATAATCAAGTCGGGCTATTTCCTGCATAAATCCAGGTTTTCTCTCACTCAGCAAGGGGCAGTCTTTTACCAGATCCGTGTCATTTGATCTCCCACTTCTCAGCTTTGACAAAACTGCCCGGGTTGGGGCTGATGAGCCCCTCTTCATGGCTATAAACTTGGTTATTCTGCTTGAGGGGATGCTTCTTATCTGGGCCTTGTTTTCCCTTCACTGACTGATTTCTTTAATAGTCCTTTCGACCTAACTCTGTGCATTCAGGCAGGGTAATATCACACTGAGGGGCACATGATATTTATAAAAAATAATACAAATATTTCCTCCCACTCCACAACTTCATGGGATAAAGCCACTTGGCTGGTATCATTTCAGGGGACAGTCTAGAGAGGGTTAGGAAAGCTACATCAATAGTTTAATGGTTAAATGGCTCAGTTAATTTGTATTTAAGTGTTCAGCAGTTTGTGAGGTTTAAAATAATGATCGGAACATGAGCCTAAGTGAGAACTGACTTTGACCACATTGCCCCCTCTGAGGAGGTGCTGTTACACTTCAGCAATACACATCTTAGAAGCACCAGAGAACTCCAGACACATTTGTCAAACTTCAACCTCCACTTTACTTGCATACCCCAAAGGTTTAGAGGCGAGTCTGAGTTTCTGTTGTGCACTATAAAGCTTTGGAATGAGGTAAGGACCTTGCAGTTTTGTAGAATTTACTGATTTCCTAAGTTTCAAAGTTTTCTGACCAACTTCAGGCCATTTTAGTATCTAGACAAGAATCATGGGAGTCAAAGTGTTTTGTCTCTTTTCTCTGTTGTTGTGTGTAAGGCTAACACAAAGAGAGGGAACATAGTGTAGTAGAACTGTCTATGTCAAGAGCTGTGTCAAGTGCACAAAGCAAACAGACTGAAAAATAGAGATGATTTTCCTTCTGATCTCTTTCAGCTCTAATAATTGTAGGTGTCATTTGCAATAAGAGTTGGTAAAATATTTTCAGGGTGGTTTTTAAGATGGCTGTGTCTCTTTAAATATTTAAACTGCTTGAAGGGGAGGACTTTATCCAATAGCCTAGTAGTAGTAGCCTACTAGAAGTAATTAATTACAATAATATAATTTTTAGAATTTGACATAAAAATATACAATATACTTTGAGTAGGAGGAAGAGAGATACGTTGATTTCAGATAAATGAAAGTTTGAGTGTGCGCGTGTGTGTGGTTGGCTGGCTGTGTTGGAGACAGTCAAGGTGGCAATTCTGGATGGCAGGAGAAGAGAAGGTTGTTGCGCTAAGAGGTGAGATGAAGGGATGGAAAGGAGGTGAGAGAGGAGAAGGAGTAAAGAGAAACCATGTCCACAAGGATAGCTGCAGCATCTCCATAGAGAGTTTTAAGTATCAATACAACAATTTTGAACTGGATCCTGAAGCAAATGAAAGCCGTTGGACATCTTTGGGCAGCATGTGGCATGATATGTTCTCACCTGTTGATTTCCCTTTACTTATTGCTGACAAGGAATGCTCCGTAAATGTGAAGCTTTGTAACTTGGAAGAAGGGCACTGGTGCTGCTGGCCAGAGCAGGCACAATCCAGGATTGTAGGTCGCAGCTGTTTGGGGGGATAATACAAACCTCATGTGGTGCTTGGCACAATATTTTGGCAGTTTGGAAGCAAACAGTGACATCTTGTGGATTCAGTTTGTAACTCTCCCTATGAAATTCAGTTCCACTGGCCACTTTCCTCCCTGACCATTTTCAGTACCGCTGGGGTACTGGCAGGGGGAGGGGGAATCACTGTATTAACTAAAAGAAAAGGAGTACTTGTGGCACCTTAGAGACTAACCAATTTATTTGAGCATGAGCTTTCGTGAGCTACAGCTCACTTCATCAGATGTTTACCGTGGAAACTGCAGCAGACTTTATATACACACAGAAATCATGAAACAATACCCCACAGTGGGGTGGGAGGAGGTATTGTTTCATGATTTCTGTGTGTATATAAAGTCTGCTGCAGTTTCCACGGTAAACATCTGATGAAGTGAGCTGTAGCTCACGAAAGCTCATGCTCAAATAAATTGGTTAGTCTCTAAGGTGCCACAAGTACTCCTTTTCTTTTTGCGAATACAGACTAACACGGCTGTTCCTCTGAAACTGTATTAACTAGACATAATGGCAGTAGATTAGGGAACACAGCAGTTCAAGGCACACTGAGCTGGAATGAATGCATCCCTTAAACATTGGAGAAAGACGCGCTAAGTATGCAGAGAGAGGAGAGCCTTATATGAGCTACAGCAGTGGTTCCCAAACTGGGGTTCGTGAAATGTTACAAGGGGTTCTCAGGGAAAAAAATTCCCTAATGGCGGAGAGAGCTGTCCCTAGGGCCCCCTCGGCAGCACGGTGCCAGCAGCCCGGAGCCCCTGGACTTCCAAGAACTAAGCAAATCAAAGCAAGCATATCTATCACACTGAAGAGATTTAAACTTCAAGACTCCTTTTCAGAAATGGCAAGGAAGGTAGATATTTTTTGCTGTTTTTAAAATTAAATAGGCAGCTAGTATTGTTTTAAAAATTATTATGAAGAACAAGTTTGATTTGTTGTAGCATGCGTTTTTTGCCCGGACTGCTCAAGACTTGAATGCTTGTGTTTGAGTTGGCTTCTTAAATACCTTCATGCTGTTTCACATCTGATACTCCTTGATGAAACACAGGAGCCTTGCCTTATAACAGGCTTATTCAAAGTGATACAAGCTATGAAAGTGAGATCTTGGAAGAGTGTTGCCGTTTTCATAATGTAATAAAAATACATAAAAATGATTAATAATAATTAATAAATAGTGTGTAATAAGCACGTGTTTTATATTTCCAAGATCACTGCTTTTATAATTTATACTCAGGTAAAGGAGAAAATTCCTGGAAATAATCATTTTAAGGAGGGGGTTTGCGAGACTTGACATTTTAGTGAAAGGGGTTCACAGGTTGTTAAAGTTTGGGAACCACTGAGCTACAGTGAGAACTAGCACGGCTCTCAGGCTCAGAGATGGCTCTGACCTTAGGTTTGGAATGAATAATTCCTTTAGAATTGGAGCAAGTCCCCATCTGGTATCTAGAATTTGTTGTGATAATGCCTTCCCCTTACATTGACCAGTGTGCTGTACACCTGTACCGTTAGACCCCAATGACATTTCTTGGGAGTGTTTTTAATTTGCAAAAAATAATGCACAGTGCTTGTTAGAGGATTTTTAATGAGGAATCCAAGTCAAGATTTGAATGCTAAGCCCTACGAAACCAGTGAGACATAGCCCAATGGCTTCCCCTTCAAAGATCATCTGCAAGGCTGCTATTGAATGTTTTTAAATCCCTAGGAAAAGGTTACTATGTGAGACTCTTAGGTTTCAGTCCATTAGGGACACTTTTGCATTTCAAGTATGTTACACATCCCTGGTTCCCTTTAGGTTTTGGTGTTTGACCCCAAGAAAGTGAAGCCACACCCCTGGATTTTTGTGGTTGTTGAAAATACACAGTTTCACACAGACTCCACCAACATTGTACATCAGCCTGTATTTCCTACAGACTTAATCTCAGTATTACTTGAGTCTAAGCTCTGGAGTTTTTGCTTGTGACTTGGCCCTGAGTTTGCAAACATTCCAGCAAGTCTCAGGTTAGTAAGAAACCAGGATCGCTATTGAGTATTGAATTTTGTTCCACTGTCTATTTTCTCACTGTTTTACTGAGCACAGCCCCACAACTGGAGTGGAACATTTTGCACTGTGCTGGTTTGCACACAGCCCATAGTAAATGGTGATGCGTAGGTGTTCCACCCTATGAGAAACACAAGAGGAGCACATAACTGTTGGTGGGGTTCCCTATTTGCTCTGCAACAGGAAGTAATTTGCAGTACTCTTTTGCGGCTTACCTTTTGAGCGGAGGGATGCATGGCTTTGCTCTTCCCACCCATTTGGGGGAGGGGAGCATCCGCTAGGGAAACCTCATGGTTGGGAGGAATGATCCAGGTGGCTATAATGCAGGTTGCACAAAGAGGGGGAGTCCTAGTACACCTCCCTCACCCCCCACCCCCATCCCGTGGTCACATAAGGCCAAGGCACGATTTAGCAACTTAAGGCAAGATATGATGCACGAAGCAAGATATGATGCTGGTCTCTTACTTGCAAACCTAAGGCCTGGTCTATACACATGTGCACCTGTAGACGTTATTTGGATCAGTATAATTAGACTGCGGCAACTCTGTGTGGACACTGTTATATTGATAAGAGTGAGTGTCCGCACAATGAGACCTGCAGTCGTTTAACTAAAATACTTTTCAAACTAATCCAGTGAAATCAGTGCACGCACTGTGTAGACAAGTACTAACTCTGTGTAGTTTAATTCTTTACCTTTTTTCTTTAGGTGAGTGAAGCAGCTGGACCATCCAGATCTCTAACTGCTTATGTCTTTCTGTCTTTTTCTGCAGCAGCCAGCAGAGTAGCCAACAAAGCAGCCATGATGACGATTCATCCCGATTCCTGAGTCCCCGAATGCGTGACGAAAGGTAGGCCTGTCCAGCAGTGGGGAATTGGGGAGATGACGGTAATCTTGATCAGCCTGAACGTGGGTATTGGTTTGTGCTGTTTGTTTATTATCAGGCAAATTATGGCTCATATTTTAGGTATAAAACTGTTTTCATGAATGATGTTAACAAGTAACACCCCCAACCCCTATCCCCTAAAGCCCTGCAGTCCTAGTGAGGAACTTGCACCAAGAATGCATCATTTGTATTCTCTGCAAACACTTCTCACCATTGCAAATAAAGTGAATGTTGGGTATTAGTGTATACTTTGCTTTGGGATGTTGTCAGTTTAAACCTAAAACTGGAAAACCTAATTATAGTGGAAACACAGAAGGAGGAACCTGCAATCAGAGGTAATAAGATGAAATCAAGTAACACATCAAATGTAGATAATGTTTGTAAACACAAGTGACACCATCAGTACAGGATGCACACTAGGTGAAGGTAGCCTTGCAAACACAGGTAACAGTACGTATAACAAGGCACATGCAGCAAGCAACACTTATATAAATGCAGGTTATGTTACAGTCACAGAAAATATTGAACAGATCCTCTTACTGTAGCAAATGTTGATAATATTGATATCTGATCAGTTACTGATAATACATGAATGTGACTGAGTGCTGCTGCATAGCAGGGAATCTGGAGATATCTGGAACATTGCACAGCATATAAGAAGATAAAGAAAGCAAAACTCTAAATGGGTAGAAGAGTTTGGATAGTTCATGGATGGGACGTGCCATTATGGGTAGTATATGTGTTTGACAGTGAACAGTTGTTTATGTGGCTCCTGGAGTCTGAACACCAAGATGTTTGATGGGTCAAGAGTGAGATAATGGAAAAAAGAATAATGTGTTGGAAAATCAGATGTTAAGTAGGAGGAATGTCTGTGAAAGGAGGAAGGAGATACCTGTCAGTGTAAGGAAGAGAACAGTCTGTCATGGTCTAGTTTCTCTGTGTGGCTTGACAAGGATTGTCATCGTGGATTGAGTATTGTGGTTGCTATACGTTGTTTTACATGGGTTGCTTTTCTGTCTAAAATGCAAATTGCTCTCACATAGCTTTAAAGAGGTTGCGAGAAGTGTGTAGTTGAGTGCCTAAACCTAATGGGTATATCTACGCAGCAATTAAACACCCCTGGCCATGGTCAACTGACTCGGGCTTGTAGGGCTTGGACCGCTGGGCTGTTCAGGCTCTGGACCCTAAGCTCTGGGATTTTGTGGTGGGAGGGTCCCAGAGCCTGGGCTCCAGCCTGAGTCCAAACGTCTGCACGGCAATTTTTAGCCCTGCAGCCCGAGACCCAGGAGCCTGAGTCAGCTCAGCCAGGCCATGCTGCAGGTCTTTTATTCCAGTGTAGTCATACCCTAAGAGGCATAGGGGCTCGTAGGACAGGGCATGGAGCTAGGAGTGAGGAGACCTGCATTCTGTTCCCAGCTGCGACCTCGGGCAAGTCATTATTTGTGCCTTAGTTTCCCCATGTGAAACATTGGGATGATGATATTTATCATCCTCTGTAAAGCACTGTGAGATTCTTGGGTGAGGAGGACCACATAAGTGTAAAGTAATGCCTTTAAGTGGGTTTCCTTGGGTAAATTATCCAATAGGGTATCACTGGAGGTGTGGCAAGAGCTGGACAGTAGAGATTGATGGGCTGTTTTTACCTGGAGGCTCATCTTTATCTGCTATATCCAGCAAAACTGAGCACAAGAAGAGGTAAGAGGCATCCTGAGCCATTTGCCAGTCTCCTTGATTCCATGTTGCTGTTCAAAACCTTTCTGTCCCATTCTAGTGAGGTGAATGAATTGGCTCAAAAAATACGGCACTGCACCTCAAGAGTCCAAAGTGCTGTAAAAATATTGGCTAATTAATCTTTCTAATACTCTGCAGTAGGTAATTGCCATTTCCTAATTTTATGTTTTGGGAAACTGAGGCACAGGAGTGTAAATGACTTGCACAGGGCCACGCAATGTGGCAGTGGAAGGATTAGAACTCCTGAGGTCCTCACTCCCAGTTACTTATGTGCCTGATGTTCATTTATACTCAAGCCCCCTTACCTGACAAATCATAAATGATGTGTCATTACCAGACTGTTACTGGTCCAGTGTAAACTCAGGGTGTACACACAGAGGTTCAGCTTCACCTAGTCTTTGGGTTTATCCACTTTTGGATGTGCATAGTTCTAGTCAATATGTAAGGTGCCTTTCCCCTTGCCTAGCAGCACTGGTGTTGTGAGCACTGGGAAGAAACCCACGGGCACAGGTGTTGCTTTTGGAAACGGAACTGTTTTTCCCATGTGCTTTGCAAGTCAAAACTATGAAGTTACCTTCCCCACATTTATCTTCCAAACCTTTACCCAAACAAAACACCGTTGCCGATTGATCATTAGCTTCTTCTTCTGCTTAATAAACACCCAACTGAATTTGTACCAGATCTGTATTCCCAGATTCCTCTGCAAGGCTAGTGTTGAGACTAGGGCCATGTGTACACTACAGGACTACAGTGGCACAGTTATGCCACTGTAGTGCCCTAATATAGACACTGCTACAGCAACAGAAGGGGCTTTTCCATCACACTAGATAATCCACCTCCCCAAGCGGCAGTAGCTAGCTCGATGGAAAAATTCTTCTGCCAACCTAGCCACATCTATACTGGGTTAGGTCGGCATAACGATGGCTCTCAGAGGTGTGAATTTTTCACACTCGAGTGCCATATGTATATCAACCTAATTTTAAGTGTAGACCAGGCCTAGTTTGTGATTGAGCTGTTCCTCTCTGTCTCTTGTGTTGGGGACAGTTGTCAGGTATGCAAGGCAGATATCCAGCAGCTGGGTAAATATTTCTTTGCAATTCCAGAAGCCCAAAATTAATAAATTTCAGACTCTTGGGGTGGATTTATTTTTGCTTCATACTGCAGCATTGGCACAAAAGAGGCTGAAAAATGAATACCTATAAAATCTTTGCATATTATTTTTTATTATTATTATTGTTACTATTTTATTAGTTATTATTTCAGCCAAACAAGAAGAGTTAGTATTACTGCATCTCCTAGTCCATATTGGATCAGAACCCAGTCCATTTTCTTCTGTGACACAGGAGCTACAGGCTCTGTGTTACTGCAACCTCTTATACTGTTCTGGTCTAGAAACCTGGTTTTATTACAGCCTCTAGTCCCGTACTACACCTGAACTTTGACTTCTTAAATTGACTAGGTCCTGTTACCACACTGTTCAGCTTTGGGATCAGGCAATGTGGCTTTCGCTCCTCCCGGGAATAGCACAGTATCACAATCTAAGGCTTTTAACATCCTTCTTGGTGTCTGGTAGCATAAAGAAACGAGCCCCTAGGAAGGGACACTTACGATAAAGGCTCTTAGTGAAGTCTCACTCTCCAATGTGAGCTGCATTGATGTCTGCTAAACCCCTGACAATCATCTTCACTCATGACATAAGTGCTGGACCTGGGGGTGCTGCCACACCGCTTGGCTTGAAGTGGTTTCCATTATGGGTTTACGGTTTGGTTCAATGGCTCTCACGCACCTGCACTATAAAAAAAAAAAATTCTAGCACCCCTGACTCCCAGAAAAGCCTTTAATTTAACCTTTTTTTCTTTCAAAATTAGCAGTATATTTGCAGCATGTGGTGGTAGTTTTCATGAAGTTCTAAAGCTGAGTGACTAGCATGGGCTTCCAGTTTTATTCTCCCTTGATGGCGTCTAGGTCAGATTTACTTGCTTTATAAGTCAAAAGCTGATTTTAGTTTCTGCCAGTGTTCCAGACTCACCCTGACTCTGGCAGCAAATGGGGAGGCAGGCGACCCCTACTGCCCCCTCTGCTTCTCCCCTTTGAACAGATGGGGACACAGAGAGGTAAAGTGACTTGCCCAAGGCCAAACAGCCTGTCAACGAGTGAGGTGGGAACAGAACCAAGAATCCTTGGCTTTGTCCCACTCAACAATGGAGTTCACCCCCCTCCTAGTGCCTTCTCCCCACCACAATGCCTTTCAGACACATAGGCTACTCTGAATCAAAAACACAGAGAGCAGGTTTATAAAGTCAGATGCCATTATACTTGGTTAATTTTCTGACTGTGAGCTGCAATGATAAAGGGAGAATGAATATACTCCTAGTTAGGAGCTGGTTGCTGATTATGTGTTTGTGATGTTGCATTCAAGTTTAGATGGTTAAATACTTTGCAAGGGGTGGCTGTATTCTGTGTTTACTAGTCTCAGCTGCTCTTATCCTTGCAGAAGAGAGTGCATCGCCCCTTAAGCCACAGCTGGCATGAAAAACATGAGGAAGGAAATGCTTCTTTCCAGGATGACCTGAAGCACTTCTTCCAACTTGTCTCCTCTCACAGGATCAGAGATCCTTCTTACTCAGTGTCTGCTAAGCCAAACTCTTGTTGAAGTCAAATTCTTCGTAATTAATTCAATGGCAGATGAGCTGTGTAAGGACTGAATCAAAGCTTAGTAAGGACCTGAAGATTTGACTCACTCAGGAGAGAGCAAGCCAGCCATAAAGAGCTAATTAATAATCCAACAGAGTGTTTGGCTCAGAACTAGTGCCTGCTAGTTGTAGCTAACCCTTTCCTCAATATGTTTCACTCCAATTACTAGTCTCTCTGGTGCTGTTGATCCTGGCATAATTTGCTAGCTGAGAACACTATACTACCAGATCACAGGGAAATTGACAGCAAAGCAGACAGGTGCTTAGATATTATCTGAGTTTTGTCTGATGCTGGGAAACGTGAAGTCAGATCACCTTGGTCTGGGATTTTATAGGCTAAGCAGGGTCAGGGCAGGGCGGTCTCCAGGTACGGAAAGAAGCAGTGTCCTGGTGATTCAGTAGACAGTGCTGTCCCCTTTTGAGCCTGGACTGAACCAAAGTTTTGGTGTGGTGCTGGACTGGGCTGCTGGAGGTGCCACCTTTCAGATGGGGTGCGAAGTGGAGGTGCTGACCAGGTATAGTCATTATTAAAGATCTCCA